TCTGTGTTTCATTTATATGTTTTTTTTTCTTTTTCTTTCACTTCTCTACGAGAAGATGTTATCAGATTGGTAACATCTTATTGTAGAGCGGTGGTCAGACGAGTTCCCAGTAGGATATTATCTTAATTGATCGTACCTCTCTGGTGTGACAGGTCACCTGTAGGACTAGATAATCGGTTAGATTAGTCGAGATAACTGCAGGATATCAGACCTATAGTTTTAATGATTATGTACTTCTACAAGTGGCGCTTGATTAAATAAAGGTACTGGCGCGATTAGCCTAAGTGAAACAAAAAAAAAAAATCTTGATTTGTCACTTAGATTTTTGGTTTTTGCTACCTTTTTATCTAATAGTATACAGAACTTTTATCACAGTAAACTTGCTTTGCTATTTTACAAATTAAAAACTTGGAATCTTCAAATAAATGCTTAAAAAAACAATTTCATATTGTTTATATAAAATGAAAGATATTTTTTTGGCTGAAATTTTATATATGATTAAAACAGGTATTTTTACTATCAAGCCTATCTGAAGAACATTAATACAATCAGTATATATAATATACTATATATAAATAAAATTTTATATACTTGCATATAATCTAGTAAAAGCTAAAGATAAAGAAAAACTTTTACCAAATACTGTATCTCGACAACTGACCAAATTTAAAGAAATTTTTTATTTAGATTATCTCTTAAACTATCTAGCAGGCAAATTTGCTTGCTAAAATTTTCTTTTTTTCGATTTTGTGTGATTGTGCCTAATTTTTCTAAGCAGCAGTACCCTCTTTCCTAAGCTGAAATTAAAATATACTATTTTGCAGATCAACTTGTAATTTTATATTATGTATTAATAGTATATAATGTTGTATATACATATTAGTAGTATAATGATTATCTATTAATTATTATCAATTTTATATAGAAAAAACTTACCAAAAAAAACCAAAAAAAAAAATTATAGGTATGTCCCTATATTTCATACGATGTTATTTTATCTATGTTTGTAATATTTATTATTGAATTATTAAAGTGATTGAAAAACTTTAACCAATAAAATTTTTTTTAAAAAAATGCAACATTTTTTGTGTAATTTAGGTTTACGTTTTTTATTTGTATAATATAGTATGTGCAATGACATAAAAATTGTAGTATCACATATTTTGTGTTATTGAAAGTTACCTTAACCAATTTCAGTTAGTTTTTTAATAAAAAAATTTTTAAACTTGATTTGTTTCTTTAATTATTTTAGTAGGCAAATTTGTCTGCTAAATCTAGACGGTTTAAAAAATATAAATTTATAAAATTCAAATAAAAAAAATTTCATTAAATTTGTTTAAATTATTGTTAAGATATCTTCACAAAAATTTAACGTAACTTTTATTTTGAAAAATTTGATTTTTTTTAAAAACTTTAAGTGAAGATATTTCAACAACCACTTGATTAAATTCAACAAAAATTCTTTTATTTGAATTCTATATATGCATAGAATTCAAAAAAAAATAGTGTCAAATTTGATCAAACAGTTGTTAAGATATCTTTATTTAAAAAGTTAAAAAGATTTTTGTTTTGATACCCTCTAAATAAGATGCATATTGATTACCATTTGCAGAGGTAATTGGCATCGATTTATATCGATTATAATCGATTGTAATCATTCAAATCTAAATTATTGTAATCGATTTATATCGATTGCAATCATTTAGATTTGAATGATTACAATCGATTATAATCGATATTAATCGATGCCAATCACCCCTGCAGATGGTAATCGATATGCATCTTATTTAAAAATTTCCTGATGCTACCCGCATAAAAATTTTAACCAATAAATTTCGATCATGCATGATTATCATGTGACAGCAGATTTTTTATGGCACCACACTTTAATTTTAGCCAATCAGAATTCTTGACAATCAACCAATAAAGACGAATTTATTTCATGCCCCGCAGTGTATTTCAGCTTTCAGTCAACAATGCAAGAGAATGTCAAAAAGAGATCTATAGGAACGAAAGGAAATATAACAAGTAGTAATATAGATAGCGCTGACGTAGAAAATGTAGTTGGGCATGAATATTCGTCGGATGATCAAGAAGATACTCAAATAAAGAGAATTAAATTCGATATTAAATCGGTAGAACGTTCAAATGATGACGAAACATCTGGAGACCCCCCTCCATCAATTGATGACAAACAATCAAAAGATAATAATACGCTTCCAGATGATTTTTTTGATAATTCTTCTAAAACTGTGTCGAGTCAACAAGAAAAAGCCACTAATGAAATCGAAGAAGAGTGGATCCTATTTCAAAAGCTGATATCTAAAGAAACACAAGTTAGTAATCAAATTGCGTATGAAGATGAAGAAGAATTGCAACGTGATAGAGATGAAATGTTAGAACGTGAACAAAAAATGTGTATTAAGAGGTCAGAAAGATTAAAAGAAGTTGCCAAAAAAGTTCGTAAGAATCGTGAGCAAAAAATGGTTGATATTGTTAAGAAAGATATAGACGAATCTGATGACGATAGTGACGAGGATATCGACGATGGTTTTGAGAATGAATGGATGGACTGGAGGGCGCAGAGAATTTTATAACATTAATAAGCGAATACTTCATAATTATTATTGAACAAAAAAAAAATCGAATGTAGATAGTATTGCCTTATTATATGCAAATATCTTTGAAATGGATAACATTCAAGATTATCAAAACATTTACATAAACTTTATTCGTTTTACTAGTGATAACAAAAATGGGATCCAGATATCCGCCAATTTTTTTTCGGTTTAATTTTATAATAAATTTGTAAATAAATAAATTTGGTATCCAAACATCCTTAAATTTAAATATGAAACGAATAAACGGATCCCATACTTAAGTGATCATTTAGTTATAACAAATGGTTTATTACTGTTTCTTGTATCGACGCTTTTTCTAGTTTTTAACCCCCTTAACTATCACATACCCTTTATATTCGGATATATCCCAATTATGTTTAATCAATAAACGATTGACTTCCGTTCGCAATTTTGCCACACCATTAGGTGAATGATTACCTAACCCGGTGACAATCTTTAGTGGTCGGGATGGCGCTTGGCCTGAGAATAAAATGTATCCGAATGTGTGTTTATATTTGAACAAATGAAGAATTACATCTTAAATTTTAAGACATTTAATTTAAACTTACCTCTTATTGGATACCACTCATCTAACTTTTCTTTTACTACAGCTAAAGCCTCGTCGACACGAAGTCCATGAAGGTCTAAAAGATTGGCATCCCCGTTTTTCTTACTTGAAATAAACCAGATCTTTTAAAATATTAGAAATTTTAATTATAACTATATGTATCGTCATACCTTTGTCGCCTAACTATGGATCTTGCGGCTCGCAAATTCCATTTCTTCATTTCGGCATCAAAATTTCGTCCCTATTAGAAATATAAACAAATGTTTTGTTCTAATAATTAATGAGCGCCATTGATTCGAATTTTTTTGTAAATAGGAACATTTACCTCAGTTGAATAATGAAATGCAATACCACCTTCACCGTTACGTGAACCTTTAGATTTTTGGAATGCATTGGCAGCTTTTTTAAAGGCCTCATTACGTTTCTTCATACATTCACGTGCTTGTTGGCGGCAATATTCCGGGTCATCGTCATCTTCTACATAATCATCATCCTCCAACATATTGGTGTGGTTACTAGGCAATGATTTCGAAGCACGAAAAGTCGTAACTGATGTCGATTTCACATAATTGCGCGAATTTACGGGAATATTGCTTTTCTTCTGCGTATCCTGATATTGTCTAGTCTCAAGATTAAGAATTGCACCATCTGATAAAAACAGATCTTGAGACGATGGCGAAAACGACATTTGAGGTGATGACGAAGACGGCATTTGAGGTGATGATGGGTTACTACTAGTCATCGAATTCGGCCGGAGTGCATTGTTTTGAAATATGACAATGCCTTGTTTTTTTGATTTTCGATGTCTCTTCTTTTTTCGATGTTTAGATCGTGAGTCAGATACCGAGAAATCATCATCTCGCTCAGAAATAGGTGGTGTCAGAGGGAAAGAATCATAATATACACAATTTGTCTGCTCCGCCAGGCATATTTCATTCAAAATAATATCCGAAACTGTCTCAGCATTATTATCATTTTCCAAAAGTAAGACGTCAATCCTATTTTCAGAAAACTCGGGAAAGCAGGCTTTCAGAAACTCTTTCAGTGATTCCGGAGAACTTTGCTCGACCTCGTTCTGAAGAAAATTAAGTCGTTCAATTTTCTCATCCAAGGGAATTTCATCCCCGGTTAAAAAGATACTTTCATAATCAAAATCATCCACAATATAAGGATTATCTGTCTGATATTCGGCGCTAGTGATCGATCCGTTTCCTGAAATAGGTGTGTAGCAAGTCCTTAAAAGTTCTTAAATATATCATTATTAAATGTGGCAGATTAAAACGAAATCAGATTAAAATGAAATTTTGTATAGTATAAAATAGATAAGCCACTGAAAAATACAAATTTTGGGAGTGCATTTTTTTTTAATTTTTTTAATTTTTTTAGGGTTAGGGGGTCAGTTTTAGGGGTAGAATTTATAATAAACAGGTATAAGTGAGTTTTAGATGGTTAAATAGAAATCCCAAATTTCATTTTAATCTGATTTCATTGTGATCTGCAACATTAAATGCAACACATTGAGTCTTACCATTTTCACCGGAATCTCGTTCGCTTGTGCTGCTCTTATAGTTGCTACTACAATTTTCCGAAAATTCCGATTCACCAAAATTTTCTCGTTCAGCGTCAAGAAATGAATTTGCCTCTTCTGCTAATGAACTGAGAATATTAAAACATTCATTTACGTCATTTTCGTCACTGACAATAGCGGCGACCAAGGCAGAATCGAGAGGTGGGCAGAACATTGACTATTAATGAAAAACAATAAATATATATAATTTTGTAAAGCAAATAAGATGTGAGTAAGCAAAAACCAAACAAATCACTTTATTAAACTTTAGACTAATAATTTGATAATTTTCAACTAATGTTGACAATTTTAAGTCCCTTTTTTTCTTTGAATTCTACATGTAAAGCTTAAAAAAGCTTTAAATTATCAAAATTGGTTAGGGTGTTATTCATTTAGAGCTAAAAACAAAAAAGTTGTTCATTGTTTTCTATCTCAGGGATTAATATGGTTCTCATATATAATACGCCTTTCCAACAAGTTTAAACTTCTAAATTACGTTCTCACGCATCTCACCTCGAATTGTTTTTGCAAGGCGTCCATCGTATAAAAGTTAAGTGTCTATAAATTTCCAAATTTTTGATATCAGATATTTAAACCTACGCAATGAAAAGGTGTAGATGCGCTAAGTCGGAATTGAGAAATGGTATTTTCATGTTGTCAATATTTCCGCAAACAGCAACGATTAAAGTTGTGCTACGAGACACAACATTTCTAATTAGGAAATTTGCTATATATATTTTATTTTCGACAATCACATGACTATCGTTTGTCTTCCCCAACGAAAATTCTATGGACTGATTTAACAACAATGCAAATTGGTTAGCACTGTAGATGGATTTTTAATAATAGCACGTGAATTTGCACTATTCATAAGCACTTTTTATTTGTTACTTTTTATTATTGTCCAGAGCGAAGTTTATTTATAATATACTGTATATATGCTTGGGGTTAGGGATGTGAAAAGCCAATTCGACCCAGAGGTCGAGTCATAATTTGTACTCGGTTCCAAGCAGACTTGGACAAAAACTCATCCTGTCGTGTGAAACCACAGTTATTTAAGCAATATATACTGTAATACAAGATTCAAAGTTTGAACCTTGTATTGCTTAAATAATGTGGTGTTACGTATTTCACATGACAGAATGAGTTTTTGTCCCAAGTCTGCTGACCGAGTACAAATTAAGACTCGACTTCTGGACCGGATCGAACTTTTCAAATTGGGGTACAATCAAGAAAATTCAAAACAAACGTTCGTTTTGTCAAAAATCGCTTATAACCCAAAATTTAGTCTATGAAACTGCCTTCTGCGCATTAATTAAAAGTTTTCCTTATAAATTTTTCCTATAAAAATATTTTTAAACATCGATCTAATAATAAAATCCTAACCCTAACCTAAAAAAACGAAATTTTACTTGAAATTTTTTTGGGTGACGATTTTATTTTAGTTAACTTTTCACATCCCTACTTGGGGTGCATACTATCGGTCTAATTACAATCATAATGCAGGTCAATAGCGATAGTAAATTCTAATAAAGATTTTTTATAGATCAACGATGATAGTAAAACATAATAAAATTCAAGCTGCAATAACTCACGAACTAGCAAACCCATACAAATAAAATTACATTTGTTATGTTCGTTTTAGCATGCTTTTTAAAGTAATAACGTCTTTTTTTTTTATTTTCATCGTTTAGAGTATATCGGCAGACTCTCAAATTTTTATGCAAAGTTTTTGTTCTTGATGCATTTTTAATTTCTGTTTGTCGCCATTGCATGGTGTGTAACACAACAGATCTCTTATAACATAGTTTTTCAGTGTTAAGATAAAAATATCGAATAATTTGTAAGAAAACAAAAAAAAAAAGAGCATGTTAAAATGAACCCGAAAAATATGGGAGAAAATCACCCTCCGATATTTTCCGATCGGGCTAATTTGGACCAACATACCGTATTCTATTCTATCAAAAATAAGCACCCATTATAAATAAGCACTTCATATAAATAAAATTGTCAATCATAAATAAGCACCCTAATAACTTATGTTCGTACATACATATATATTTTACAAATTCGATATTTATAAAATTTAAAACATGTAAAATACAAGTTAAACTTTGAACTTACAATGAAATAATATATATTTAACTGGTTATTTTATTCGTTATTAAAAATAACTAAATAGCAGTAATAGCAAATTTACAAGCATTCTAACTCTTAATAACAAGAATAGTAACCTTATTTATATTTCAAATCAATGATACTGTATCAATACTTTTATTGTTTTTATTTCATTATTGAATACAATGAAACATTTATTATTATTTTCCTCATCTCTTTGGATTAATTTATTTTCTGAACCATCTAAGGTTTTTTTTTTTAATTTATTAGCAGCCTTACTGGTATCTTTTATTAAATCAAAGCAAATATACAGGTATATTATATACTATCTAAACTATAGATCTGATATCACTTAGCTTCTCCTATGGGTATCCAAGTGTGGTCTGCCATACTGGTTAAAGTTATTGTCTGTACTGGAGGGTTGCATCAAGCTAGTTAGTAAAATCTAGGGTTCGGAATAGGCTAGGTTAGGCTAGACCCAAGCTCGGCCTATTAAATTATAAACCTAGTTTAGATCCAGCTCAATAAAAGATTTAGAGTATGAGCTAGGTAGGGATTACTCTAAAGCTTAACCTGATCTAGTCTAATAAAAAAATTTAGAGTATGAGCCTGGTCAATTTATTTCAAACCTGGTCCGAACTGGTTCATTGAATTATAGGCATAGCCTGGCCCAGCCTATTGAATTATAGACCTGGTCTGGCCTATTGAATTATAGGTTCGGTTTAGCCTATTGAATTATAGATCTGGCTTGATCTATTGAATTATAAGCCTGGCTCATACTTGGTCACGTTTATTGGGTCTATCTATATTTCAGAACTAAAATATATAATACAACTCTCACATTAATAAGATCAGACTAATTTAATTCAGTGATTTACATTATATCCTTCTTACAAAAAGAGAGGAGAAAGTTTATTATAAAAACTTTCTTCAAAATGATCTATGATATTATAAAAGTTTTCTAAAATTTTTCATATATATAATGAGGAGGGGAAATAGAGAAAGGCAGAAAAAAGAAGAAGATAATATAAACTACTAAATTAAATTGGTCTGGTCTAAAAAGGATATCTATTATATAAAATAATAATACTTTAATCATAAAGAGAATATCTATTGTATAAAATAATAATATACTTTAACCTTTATCTAATTACTTTTATTAATAATTAACTAACAAATCTGAATTTTTTTTTTTTTTTT